TTTTCGAACATTCCTTTGAATTGTGCAGTTTGTTGTTCTATTGCGGCAATAAATTGATTGCGCTCATCCGAGAGTTTATGCTTCATTTTTTCCTTCTTCCTCCCCGTAGGACGTTCACCTACATTGTTCATTTCATTACAATGTTCATCAGTTTCAAAATCATCATTCAAATCAACAGCAAATGAGGAAGAGCCTATTGACTTCTCGGTTCCGAAAGATTGTGATTGTGATCCTTCGGAAGTTCTTTTTCGACCTCCAACATTTAGCAAGCTCCCTGTTCTGCAAAATTTCTGCATGCCTTTGACAATCGGCCATACATGATCAAACTTAAATCCGCCTTTGAATTTGGGATCTTGCTTTACTAACTCTTTTGCTCTATCAAGATGTTATAAATAAAATATAATTCTAATTAAACAACACAATTAAAACAAAAAACAAGAGAAAACTAAATAACACAAATTTACAAGATACTCACAATATCTTGTTCAGATGCACCACTTGGGTTCATGTTCTCTATTTGTTGAATGCACCCTCTTAGTTTGCTAACCGCTGTTGATATATTTGCCCAACGACTATGCAGCGATCTTGAAGTTCGATCGGTACAAATGTGTGCCGGTAGCATTTGTTTATATTCTTGTGCAATGTGTTCCCATAAATCTGGTGCAGAGCGATCATTGTCCTTTTCAGGATCTTGGGCAATATCCATAAATATAGTACAAATGAGTTTATCTTCTTCATTAGAGTATGAGGAAGTTCGGATTGAACGTGAGGGATTTGACATATTTCAATGACTGTTAAACTAGAAAGAGATATTGATATTCAAAAGATAGGTGGTATTACTTCTAAAATCGAATTGTAGTATTTATAGAGATACAAGCATACCAATGAACGGATGTGATCTTCGCGATCAATCTAACGGTTCTAAACAATTCAGATAAAAGCTGATTCTTCAAAGATGCATGTGATGATATCTTTTATTGGAGTATGTGTGAAAAAGGACAAGCATACCAATGAACGGATGTGATCTTCACGATCTAATCTAACGGTTCTAAACAATTCAGATAAAAGCTGATTCAAAGATGCATGTGATATCTTTTGTTGGAGTATGTGTGGAAAAAGGACAAGCATACCAATGAACGGATGTGATCTTCACGATCTAATCTAACGGTTCTAAACAATTCAGATAAAAGCTGATTCAAAGATTCATGTGATATCTTTTATTGGAGTATGTGTGGAAAAGGACAAGCATACCAATGAACGGATGTGATCTTCACGATCTAATCTAACGGTTCTAAAGAATTCAGATAAAAGCTGATTCTTCAAAGATGCATGTGATATCTTTTATTGGAGTATGTGTGGAAAAAGGACAAGCATACCAATGAACGGATGTGATCTTCACGATCTAATCTAACGGTTCTAAACAATTCAGATAAAAGCTGATTCAAAGATGCATGTGATATCTTTTATTGGAGTATGTGTGGAAAAGGACAAGCATACCAATGAACGGATGTGATTTTCACGATCTAATCTAACGATTCTAAATAATTCTGATCATGCCTATAAAAACGTTCTTCATCACCAACAAATTGAGCATTCAACCCATTATCATCTATCTCTAAACATACGAATTCAAATATGAATTCCAGCACCGGAAAACGTCCTATGCCATTTTCTTCATCATCATCCTCATCATCACCAGAGTCTAAGCACAATCTCGCAAGTGCAATACGAGCACAAACACAGTTATTAACCCATGCATATACTAGCCACACCCTTGCCATAGCTTCCTACATGAAAAATATGGATAATCAACCCCTAGGCATGGAGGTTCGACTTTTGGACATAGAGTGATTCATCGTGATCGTGAAGAAGCAGATCGAAGATTATGGAATGATTATTTTTTCAGAGTATCCAAAATATTCTGAAGCAATGTTTCGTAGACGATTTCGAATGAGTCGAAATTTGTTCCTACGAATTGCCAATGCTGTTAAAGGCCATGACAACTATTTTGTGCAACGAAAGGACAGAATCGGTAGATTGGGCTTATCTACTTTACAAAAAGTTACAGCGGCGTTTCGAGTTTTGGCGTATGGAATACCAGCAGATGCAACAGATGAATATATCCAGATTGGAGAATCAACTATAATTGAAAGTTTGAAGAGATTCTGTCGAGCAATTGTAGAGGTCTTTGGGGAGCGATATCTAAGAGCACCTGATGCTAATGATGTTGCATGGTTGCTTTAAATTAGCAAAAAACGTGGTTTTCTAGGGATGCTTGGGAGTTTAGATTGCATGCACTGGACATGGAAAAATTGTCCAATTGCTTGGGCTGGACAATATGCTGGGAGAAGTAGAGAACCAACTATTATTCTTGAAGCTGTAGCCGATTATGATTTGTGGATTTGGCATGCACATTTTGGTATGCCGGGGTCGAATAACGACATTAATGTGTTGGAGGGATCTTATTTGTTTTCCAATCTTGCAAACGGTATAGCACCTCCTTGTCATTATGTTATTCAAGGACAACAGTACCACACTGATATTATTTAGCAGATGGTATATATCCAAAATGGTCCACATTGGTACAAACAATTCATGAACCTCGAGAGCCCAAAAAGAAGTTATTTGCGATGATGCAGGAAGCGTGTAGAAAAGACGTAGAACGCGCATTTGGAGTTCTCCAATCACGATTTGCAATAGTCAATGGACCGGCACGTTTTTGGGATAAATGTGTATTGCATGATATAATGTGGAATAAATTAAATTTTCAAAAATATTGTTAAATTCGATTTTTTAAAATAATTAATGTTATAAAAAAAATTAATATTAATAAAAATTATTATTTGCATTACAAATTATATTTTATATTAAACTAATTAAGTTCGAACTAAATTATATTAAACTAACTAAATTCGAACTAATAATTGAAAAATAAAATTATTTTAGTGTAAAAGTTTGGTCTTTTGGTGTTTTGGTTTATATGGGTTGGAGATGAATAAAATTTGGTGTGAGAATATGCTGAGAATATTCCTTCTGATGTGACATTTGCTGAAAAAATTTGGTGTTTTGGAGATGGAGTGGTTGGAAATGCTCTAAGGCTATCCTTATCCCTGCAAACATCTCCCATTCTCAAAAATGGGTCCCACTTCAACATCATCTCATTTGCAAATCATCTCCTATTCACACTACATCCCTGCAAATCTCTCTCACTCTCAAAAATGGATCCCACTTTTATTTTATATTATATATATATAAATAAAATAATAAAAAAAATAAAAACTAAAGAAAAGTATAGATTTGCAGGCAGCCATGCTGCCTTGCAATACAGTACAAAGAAGGCTGCCATTCGGCAGCCTTCTTTGTACTTTGCAAACTTGCAACAGATGCAAGTTTGCATTACACATCATATAACAAAAAAAATAAAAATAAAATATAATTCCATGTGGCATGCCAAATAAGATTGCAAATGGGTACACTTGCAGGGGTAAGTTCAGCCTAAGGAACTAGAAATTATTTTCCTTTTTTTTTTTTTCGCGTGTGAATGTAAGAAATTACTTTATATTCTTTTAGGTACCTCTAATTTTTTCTCCTCCCATGTCACTTCATTCCAAGTTTTTTCTTCAAGTGATCCCATTGATTTTGGAAACTGAATTGTCTCCACATGCTGCATAATTCTCAAACTATCTATATGCGAAGAAATAATTACAGTTATATCAAGAGCTGTGAAGGTTAAAATATCTAGAACAAACCTCACTACATCATAACATTGATATTATTCGTAAACTTTCTAATTACAGTAAGCACTTATGTCATCATAGACCAACATAATTCTAATTTATTGAAGTAATTAACAATTTCACGTTAGTGGTATGTCAAAATGATCAAAAATAACTTTTTTGCACTTTTCATTAACATATTTTAAACATTGTTCTCTCACCTTGTAGCAGATAACAAAAAAATTTGTCAAACAACCCTCCAAAATTCTATCTCCATCATTTGACAGCAAGAGAAGCAAATTAAAAACAAGTACTTGGCATGTCCTTCAATATCTTAAATTTACACGAGATCGAATAATAACAATAAATGTACTCTTCTAGTCCCTCACAAGTCCTCACTATACAAGAAAAATTTTATTACAATTTTTTACAGTAATGACAAACAATAATTAACAATTAACAATAGATAACAAGAAAATATAAGTTCATATGCAATTACCTTACCCAATCTGAATATTTTGCGTTTGCTAGTGCTCTATACTACCACAACCCGCAACTGCCAAGTGTGCCCCATTTTCTGAAATTCCAAATTCTTTAGGAACATATCTACCAACATGCACATACACATTAAAACTTCTGCAAATATTTTCTTCATTTAATCCCTCGGCTTCCCTAAAAACATCCAAATTACCACCCACAAGAGACGTAATAGCTTATTCCTCATCATTTTTCTCCTCTTTTAGCACAACAGGCATAACCTTTCTCATTGAATCATTAACCAATGACTGAATTTGTGAATCACAGAAGGTTGATGATGTTAACATTGAAGAATCTGGAACCATAGATTCTGAGACTTCAAAAATAAACTTTGGGTTGGAGTGGAGCAGAATCCTCACAGAATTGGAGAGTCTGCGCAAGTGCCTGTTCCAGAACAAGATCTGTGATCCATTGTTATGAGTTCGAGTGGTTGTGTATGCACCTAAAACCAAAAACCAAATAACCATTCCAAATTTGATATATCTAAAGTGTTTATAAAAGTCAAATACATTTTTTACAAATAAAAACAACACCAAATACCTACGGGTCATTATAGTTTTCGCGATACAGACTAAGCTTGAAGAAAGTTCATGAGAGTTTATTCATTTGGGCGGAGAAGATGAAGATGGACGTTACAATCAAGGAAGGGGAATCTGCCACTTATTAAATAGTGTGGTGGCAGTTGTAACAACTAATGCAAGAAAATGAAAGTACAAATATACCCTTGTCACATTTTCTTTCCTTCCTCTAATACCCACCGTAAGGTGGAGTGTGTAAATTTTGAACACCCAGCTTAGAGACAAAAGATCCAAACAGTGAGATTGGAAGAGCCTTGGTAAAACCATCTGCGACTTGGTTGAGAGTAGAAACAGGGAGCAGCTTGACAAGGCCTTGAGCAATTCTTTCACGAACTACGTGGCAATCGATTTCAATATGCTTAGTTCTTTCGTGGAAGACATTATTTTCAGCAATCGCAACAGCGGACTTGTTGTCGTAGTAGACAATAGTAGGCTCACTAGCAGCAACCTGCAAAGCCTGAAGTAATGAAGTGAGCCATTGTAGCTCGCAAACAGTGGTAGCAAGTGCCCGGTATTCTGCCTCAGACGAAGATTTTGAAACTGTAGCTTGTTTCTATGATTTCCAAGATACAAGGGATTGGCCAAGAAATATGCAATATCTTGTGACTGATCTGCGGGTGTCATGGCATGAAGGCCAGTCTGAATCGGAGAAAGACTTGAGCAGAAGGGTGGTGGCAGTTGGATATAGAATGCCTTGTCCAGGCGACCCTTTGATATAACGAAGTATGCGATGTGCAGCAGCCATGTGGATGTCGGTTGGAGAGCTAACGAATTGACTGAGCCGATGAACAGCATATGTGATATCCGGCTTTGTGGCCGTAAGATACAACAATCTCCCAATCAAATGACGATAACTGCCGGGATCATTTAGCGGTGTGCCATCGTGTTGTGATAAGTGAGAACCCGGGACCATTGGCGTGCTCATTGGTTTGCAATTGATGAATCCGGCATCATTCAAGATGTCAAGGGCATACTTCCTTTGACACAAATTCAAACCAGCAGTGGTGACTTTGGCCTCAATACCCAAAAAATATCCTAGAACACCCAAGTCTTTAATTTTGAAAGCCTCATCCAGTGACTCTTTGATTTGTTGAATATTAGTTAATTCACTGCTTGCCACTAGGATGTCATCAATGTATATCAAAAGAGCAATATAGTCACGGCCTATACCCTTAGTAAACAGAGACGGATCAACAGCTGCTTGCTTGAAACCATCACGCAAAAGGGTGGCTGTGAGTTTGGCATTCCACTGCCGGCTCGCCTGCTTTAAGTCATACAACGATCTCAGCAGTTTACAAACTTGGTTCGGCTTCTCTCCTTGGAAGCCCGGGGGGAGAACCATATAAACCTCTTCGTCTAAATCCCCATGGAGAAAGGCGTTGTCGATGTCTAATTTGTGAACATGCCATGCCTTGGATGCAGCCACAGCTAAGAAAGTTCGAATAGTTGTCATCCTAGCTACCGGAGAAAAAGTTTCGATGTACTCCATGCCTAGTTGTTGCGTGTAACCCTTAGCCACCAGCCTGACCTTATATCATTCGATAGAACCATCCACTTTGAGCTTGAGTTTGTAGACCCACTTACAACCTATGGGGATCTTTCTCACTGGTAAGTCTGTTAGCTGCCATGTCTTATTATTTTGCAGAGCAGTAATTTCTGTCTTCATTGCATTCCTCCAGCATTCCTCTTTGATGGCTTGATTATATGTGCGAGGCTTCGTTATAGACATGACAGATAATGTGAGAGCCATATGCAAGGGGTCTAGGCGATCATTCGATACATATTTTGATATAGTATGAGGCGAAGAACCTTATTTCTGAACCCTGTCACAAAAATATTCTAGTAATTTTCTAGGCATGTGTCTTTCTCCGTGTGACCTTCTTAAGGGAATTGGGGAATTAACAATGGCTTCCTCCTCGTGGATGGTTGTATTGTGAGTGTCACTATCCATTGGCAAGGATTCAACTATTGTAGGATGAAGCTCATTCGATGACTGATCAACAGAGGGGTCCGCTGGAGTGGACTCATGATTAGCCCGTGAAGATTGTGGCTGCTCATAATTCAACATAGTTGATGTGGGGATAATTGGCAGAGAAGGATTGAAAGATTGAGGGAATGTCTTGACTGGCTGCCCAGAGAAAGGAAATTCCTGCTCATAGAAAATCACATCTCGCGAGACAAAAACAGTGTTATCAAGCAATTCATATAATATGTATCCCTTCGTATTAGCTGGTATGCCAATGAATACGCATTTTCTTCCTCTAGGATCCATCTTGTTCCTTGAGTGAGGTAAAGTTGAAGTAAAACACAAGCAACCAAAAACTCTTAGCATAGTGAAAGTAGGATCTTTACCATACAGTTTGCGGTAAGGACTAACCCCTTCAATCACTGGAGATGGGATGTAGTTGATGATGTATACGGCGTGCATGACACATTGGCCCCAAAACTCTAGAGGCAGCTGGGCTTAGAAGCGTAAGGTTCTGGCCACGTTGAGGATATGTTGATGCTTCCTTTCTACCACAGCGTTTTGCTGCGGAGTGTTGACACACGAAGTCTGATGAATTATTCCCTTCTCACCATAGAAATCTGTAAAGTTGAACTCGGGCCCATTGTCACTTCTAATTGTCTTAATTAGAATTCCAAATTGTGTATAAGCATAGCTATGAAACTGTTTTATGAGGTTCCCAACTTCTGACTTTCTTTTCATTAAATGTAGCCACGTAAACCGGGAGTAATCATCTACCAATGTTAATAAATAGCGTTCTCCCTTTATTGAATAAAACGGGAAGGGACCCCAAATATCCGGATGTATCAACTCGAAGCAAGTATTTGAAGAAGAAATACTTATTGGAAAAGGAGAACGTTTTTGTTTGGCAAAGTGACACACATCACAAGCTTTATTCACTATGGGTAAATTTTGAGTTTCTTTAAGCAAATGCAACTTATTTACAGGAAAGTGTCCTAAACGCCTATGCCAAATCTCAGTTTTATTACATTGCATGGCTAAACTTTTGTGAACAGCAGATTCCTTTGGTGGCTTCAACAGATAGAGCCCTCTCTCTTGTTCAGCTAAACCAATCGTCATCCCATGTGGCTTCTAAATTATACATTGTTAAGAGGAGAATGTTAGGCTATAAGACTTGTCTTGGAGCAACTTGCTTACTGAGACGATATTAAAGTGAAATGTTGGAATATGCATAACATCTTTAAGCAATAAATCATGTCCAAGCCTTACAGTGCCTCTGTTTCTAACTGTAACTAGACTCCCATTCGGCAGGCTAACTTCATCCCCTTCAACATTATAATACTCATCAAACAGTTCAATAGAACAAGCTATGTGGTTCGTGGCCCCGGAATCTAAAATCCAAGTTGATGCACAAATTGAAAGGAAATTAATTTGAGAAACAGAATACTTGCCTTCCTCAGCATTCTTAGTGAATTTTGGAATCAAAGATATTGCAGCTGTGGCACTGGAACTAGTAGGCTGCTGCCCCATCTGATTTTGCAAAGCCATCATCAGTTTCTGAAATTGATCATTGGAAATTCCCAGGTCTGTTGAGTTGCTCACCACTGGTGCAACACTCTGCTGTTTCATTTTAGATTTGTATCTCGGAATCCAACCGGGGGGATAACCGTGCTTTTTGTAGCACTTGTCAACGGTGTGCCCCGTCATTCCGCAGAAAACTGACTTAGGTTTATTGCCTGCATTGCTTCCATATTTCTTAGCATTATAGGAGTTCATAGCAGCCACCATCTCCTCTGTAGAACTATGAGCATTTTGGACACTGTTTGCCTGACTGATCTCCATATTATTGCTACTCAGAATTGGTGCACTAATTTGCCTCTCAACCTTTTCGGCCATCACATACACCTTATATACTTCCGGCAGTGGATCCATATCAAGGACACTGGATTTCAGACCATTATAATCGTCATTTAACCCTTGGAGAAACCGTATGACTTGATCGATCTCCCTTTCCTTTCTAATTATATCAATGAGGTCACAGGAACCTTTCAGATCACATTTACAACTAGGAAAAGGTCTTAAAGCATTCATTTGTTCCCACATAGTTCTACATTTTGTATAGTAATCACTAACAGAGAGATTACCTTGCTTCTCCTCGTAGATTCGCTCTGTAAGGCGGAGATTTTCTGAGCATCACACTGTGCGAAACGCTTTCTCAGATCCTCCCAGACGTTTACTGCACTGTCTATATGCATGATGGACTGAGCGATGGAGGCATGAACTGATCTAAAAATCCACGAGCACACCATCAAATTGCAGCACCTCCAAGCTCCATAGCGGCTGTTGTCTCTGTTTGGTGCCGGAAGGCTTCCGTCAACGAGGCACCATTTTTTTTTGACTTTCAAAGCAATTTTCATCGAGATTGACCCGAAAGCGTAGTTGGAGCTCCCTGCTAGAGGTGGACTAACCAGAATCGCAGAAGGATTTTCGCTTGCACTGAGGAAATATGGATTCGCCATATCTTCCACTGCGTAGCTCCTATGCAGATGAAGACTCCTCTGTGGAGTTGCTGTTGAGGACGTGCGTGTTGGTGATCCAACTGCTGGTGTAGTTGCATGTCCTCCTTGGCTGGCTTCGCCGGTAACGGCGGCGGCGTATGAGCTCGACCGTCGCTCTGATACCATTTCGCGATACAGACTAAGCTTGAAGAAAGTTCATGAGAGTTTATTCATTTGGGCGGAGAAGATGAAGATGGACGTTACAATCAAGGAAGGGGAAATTGCCACTTATTAAATAGTGTGGTGGCAGTTGTAACAACTAATGCAAGAAAATGAAAGTACAAATATACCCTTGTCACATTTTCTTTCCTTCCTCTAATAATAGTTGACAGTGAATAATATTTTACGATGACCGAAAAAATTTACCATGAATGGTAATACTCTCAATAAAAATAAGTAATTGAGACAAAAAGAACACAAATCATAACACCGTTCACACCTGGGTGAGCTTCAAGTAAGGTTGCAGCATATGGAGTTTCAGCGGTAGTTGACATGACACCATTTATGAAAACAAATTTGTTGCAGTTCAACATCATTGTCTCATATGCTAAACACATTTTAATCAACCAATGCACATAGTAAAGCCTTAGTTTTTAGCCAAAAAAAAAAAAACCAACTACTTCCCTAATTCTATAAGGAACAAGCGATTCCATTCTATGCTAGGACAACCACAATTTTTAAGACTTATAACACTATAATCACATTTTCACACACACATAGGGAGAGAATAACTCAATTCAGTTATTCATTAATACTAATGGAGAATGAATAGAGGTCAGAGGATACTTACCTTGTAAGCTGATCTCAGCAAGTATAGACTATGGACTTCTCAAGTCTCAAAAGAGGTAGAGTCTCAAAGTTAATGGGAACTCTGCATGTGATACGGAGAGTTAAAATTAGATGTACACCAAACTTGAGTTTTGTTGCATTGCTTTTGACACTTTAAAAGAGTATACAAAAACCAGAAAAAAAAAGATAGTACAACTACCACACATGAACAAAAGACAAAAGATAGTAAGCCAATATATCCATAGGCCTAAAAGGGCCTAAAAGCAGTATAGCACATGAACAAAAAAGACAGTAAGATAATTGATGCAGTAATAGATATTGCCACTCATTTTACAGAATTAGTGAACTTGTATATTAAGAATTAAGAATTTGTATAAATTCATAAATTCAATAATCAAGAATTCAAGAATAACAATATATTCTTAAATATTAGGCAAATTAATATGAAAAGGGGGAATTTTTGCAGCGCACCACAGTTTGAGGGGTAGAAATTGGGGAAGAAATTAGGGTTAGGGAAGAAGAAAAGAGAAAGAGGAAAGGGAAATGATCTTGTTATTCATCATAAACGTAATTCCTCTACATTCTACCAATGTAAGCAGCAAAATAGCAAAACAATACACAGCCATTCATCCCTAGATTCTCGGATCGTAACAGAAGAATGTGCTGGAAGGAAGATGAAACGGCGTCGTATGATGGCCAGGCCAAGTGCTTCTAACGGCTACTCCAAAACGTTGTCGTCTGGCCTCTTTTATTTAAACGGCTCAACCGCTTTATTCCTGCGACGTCGTTTCGGTCCTCTGACTTCTGATTCTTTTCAATGGCTATCTTCCTTTCTATTTGCCACCCATCCTCCCTCTTGCCAATTCAATAGAATCTCTATCTAGGGTCGTTGCATTTCCCTCCCCATCAGCTGATCCTTATCCCCAAGGATCAAATGAGGGAAACTAGTTCTCGATGTGATGAAAACTCTCCCAAGTCGCTTCTTCCCTAGGTAAATTGGCCCACTGGACTAGTATTTCAACTATAGCTTGGTTCCCCTTCTTCACCAATCGTTTACCCAAGGCAGCTACAGGTTCTGCAAGGATTTGCCCCTCATAACCCAACAAAGGAGGGTCAAACTGAGCCACTTTCCCATCCCCAATTTTCTTCTTGAGTTGAGACACATGGAATACAGGATGCAGCTGAGATCCTAAGGGAAGTTGTGGTTTGTATGCCACAGCTCCAATTTTTTTTTAGGATTTTATAAGGTCCATAATACTTGGATGATAGTTTTAAGTTTCCTCTCACATCCAAGGTGACTTGTCTGTATGGTTGCACCTTGAGGTAAACCATATCCCCAACTTCCAAAGATTAGAAAAGGAATTTCGTTAATGACCGTAACAACAGGATTACAGAGAGTATATCTAACTCTAACTGATCCTATTCAATAGCTAAACTAAGTCAAGCTATCTAAGCCACATAATATAAAATATATACAGGAAATAATAACAATAATAATAACTTATACTAACACACCCCCTCAAGCACAAGGTTGGAGGGCAACAACGTTGAGCTTGTCACGCATGGCAGCAAACCGCGAAGCAGGCATCGGTTTTATCAAGATATCTGTCGTAGAAACATAATTGACGAGGAAGTCACCCGAAGCTACCTTGTCACGGACGAAATGATAATCTATCTCCGCATGTTTTGTACGCGTATGAAACACCGGATTGGCACATAGATACGTAGCCCCTAGATTGTCACGCCAGAGCGTTGCAGGCTTCCCGGAATGTAACCCTTGCTCGCGCAGTAACGAAACGACCCAAGTGACCTCAGCGGAGACAACAGCTAAGGCCTTGTACTCAGCCTCAGTGGAGGACCTAGCTACAGTGCGCTGTTTCTTCGAGAGCCAGGAGATTAAATTATCACCAAGGTAGACAGCAAACCCGCTTTTGCTTTTCCTGTCCATAGGACAACCAACCCAATCAGAGTCGGAATAAGCGTGAATGTCGGACGATGCAGACGGAGAGATCCGAAGCCCATAACTCAGAGTGCCCTTAACATACCGTAGGACTCGCTTCACCATACCCCAATGCTCCTTAGTGGGTGCGTGCATAAACTGACACAGACGGTTCATAACAAAACTCAAATCCGGCCGCGTAATGGTTAAGTACTGTAGCGCCCCAACTACACGCCGGTACTGAGTAGGATTGTCATAGAGCTGAATGGAAAGCATAGAGGTCTTTGTGACGGCTGCTGGCGTAGTAAGAGGCTTGCAGTCAACCATACCTGAACGCCCTAACAGATCAATCATATAGCGTCGCTGTGATAGAAACATACCGCTAGTAGAAGAAACAGTCTCAATACCCAAGAAGAAACCCGGTGAGCCTAGATCCCGAATCTTGAAGGTAAAGGCTAGCCGCTGTAGGATAGTATCAACCAGTGTGCTGTCGTTTCCCATCATAATTATATCGTCAACATACGCGAGTAGATAGACACGCGCAACACCTGAAGCATAGTAGAATAAAGATACATCTGTCTTTGACGACTTGAACCCTGCCGACAGTAGAAAATCGTGAAGCCGCTTAAACCAAGCACGAGGGGCCTATTTAAGACCATACAATGACCGCTGTAAATGACAAACATGCCCAGGTGTAGATGGGTCCTCATACCCCGGTGGTTGCTTCATGTAAACTTTTTCGGCTAAGTGACCGTTTAAAAAAGCGTTGTGAACATCCAGTTGCCGTAGAGTCCACTTATTGGTTACGGCTAGAGAAAACAAGAGACGCACCGTGGTTGGTTTAACAACTGGACTGAACGTATCGAAGAAGTCTTCACCGGCCACCTGATTGAACCCTTTGTCTACCAACCGAGCCTTGTACAGTTCGACTGACCCATCTGCAGTGCGCTTTGTCCGGAATACCCACTTGCACCCTATTATGTTCATGTGTGGCTCTGGAGGGACCAGACGCCATGTTTGATTATGTAATAAGGCGTTGAACTCTTGGTCCATGGCCTCTCGCCAATGTGGATGCCCTACAGCTTGTGAGTAAAAAGTGGGATCAGTGACCGCTGTTAAGGCTTGGAATGGTTCCGATGTGCCTTTGGTCATGTGACGAAGGCGCATAACATGATCACGACCTTGCGGTTGTGCACGCCATTTGCGAGACCGTACCGGAGCGGTCTATGTGATTGCCAACTGAGGAGGAGCCCTTGCTAGTGGTAATGGTTCACTTTCAGACTGCATAGTATTAGACGGAGAAGTGTCACTACTTGATGTTGGTAGACACAAGGGTGCTACTGCCCAAGCTATCTCTGGAGGTGTAGACACCTGTGTGTAGTTTCCTGTTGCAAAAGGAAAGTTAGTCTCGTCAAAACGCACATGGCGGCAGATATAGGTTTTCCCAGTTGCCAAGTCAAAACATCTGTATCCCCTAAAGGAGGGTGGGTAACCTAGGAAGACGCAAGGAATAGAGCGGTACTCGATTTTGTGTCGATTATATGGACGGAGATGTGGGTAGTAACGACACCCAAAGACACGTAGGAAATTATAGGGTGGTGGTGTTTTGAATAAGCGAGTGTATGGACTTTCAAAATTAATTGTTGATGATGGTAAGCAGTTGATTAAGCATGTTGCTGTTTCAAAGGCGTAGTCCCAATATTGTTGCGGGACTTTGCCTTCAGCAAGGAGGGTAAGACCTGTTTCAACTACATGCCTGTTACGGCGTTCGACTTTGCCATTTTGTTCATGTGTATAAGCACATGATTGGCGATGGTTTATACCTAGAGTTGGGAAAATTGTATGGAGTTTGCGGTATTCACCCCCTAGATCGGACTGAATAGACTTGATAGAGCACGAAAACTGCCGCTCTACCAGGACACGAAAAGACTCAAAAACTTTATATATGTCTGATTTCACCCTTAATGGGTAAAACCAGCAGAATCTGGAGTAATCGTCTACAAATAAACAAAAATAACGATTACCACTACTAGATAGTTCAGGGGAAGGACCCCAAATATCGGTAAAAATTAAATCAAGTATATTGTCACTTGAATAAGGAACACTATCTAGTTTAAAACGGGACGATTTTCCTAGGTGACACGATGCACATTGCTCGGGAGTGATGGTTTTATTTATTGTGACGGGACAACTTTGCAAGACTTTATTTAAAACTTGACTGTGCGGGTGACCAAGCCGGTTATGCCAGACGGTGGGAGTGGCACGGGAACAGACGAACGCATATTGTGACCGTAACCTTGGAACCTTGTACAACCCGCCAGAAGTGAAACCTTTAAGTAGAACCGCCTTGGTTGTGGAATCCTTCACAAAAAAAGAATCGTTATGAAATTCAAAAAACACTTTTTTGTCATTAGTAAATTTATGAACTGACAACAAAGGAACAGACAAACGCGGGACATGTAACACATCATTTAAGTGGAGAATTTTAGATTTGGACGGGATAGACGTGTGACCGACTCTTGAGATAGCCAAACCTGCCCCATTGCCGACCCGAAGCACATCCGGCCCACCATATTCCTCGGAGTTACCCATCATTGACGCATCGGGAGTTGCGTGCGCGGTGGCCCCGGTGTCGGGATACCATCCATCCGAAGCATGCGTTACGGAGGTCGATGGTGCCTCTCCGGACACGGCCACGTGAGCTTGAGCGGGTGGTTGTGTGGAATATCTTTTAAAACAATATACGGCCGTATGACTGTGGGAGCGGCAAATTTGACACCGCTGATTCCCACGGCCTCCACGACCGCCACCACGATTTGAGTTCCGGCCACCATTGTCGCTGGAGCTCCGTCCACTGCCCCTGTTCTGATTCCGTCCACCGCCCGAACTGCTCGAACCACGCCCCTGACCGGCGTACAAAGCAGTGTGAGCCACGCCACTGTCCAGAGAAGGGTAGTCATCTACCAATATGAATTCATGTGCCTGTAAATAATCAGACAAGTGGGATAGGGAGACCGGATTCCTGGTGGCCGTAAGCGCGGTGGCGAGAGGTTTGAGCTCCGGACGAAGCCCACGGATGATGTACAGATTCTGTTCCATCAACGTCAATGGTCTGCCGGCATGAAGCAACGCCTCCACGAGAACGCCGGCACGCCCGAGGTAATCTGCTGTGGTCGCGTTCCCCTGCCGGAGCATCTGAAACTGCGACAGTAAATTGAGGCATCTCGCCTGGCTTGAAGATCCCAGCGCGCCGGTGATGGAGGACCATATCTCAGCCGCTGTATTCCGCCTAAGCGCAAGGTGCAATGTCTCATCCGCCATAGACGAGACCAAGAGAGAGATGATGGTCTGGTCTTGTTTCACCCAGGCCTTGAAGGCCGGATTAGGAGTCTCGGACGGAACAACACGACTGGACGCAGCGTCGTCGGATGCCGGTGTGCCAGCGATCAGCTCCGGTGGGCAGGGAAGGGTGCCGTCGACGAAGCCCAGAAGCTCCTGGCCTCAGAGGAAAGAAACAATCTGCATACGCCAAAATAGATAGTTCTTTAGCGTAAGCTTCATCGTAACATAATGATGAGCCCCGGCGAGGGAACCGTCGGTTGCCGGAGCTCCACCGTCGGAGGCTGTGCGATCGGAGGCGGACGACATGGCTGTTTGGAGTGCGGGAAGGGAGGGGGAGATTTGTGGTGGAGGTTTTGAGAGATCGAAAAATCCTAGTCTGATACCAGATTAGAAAAGGAATTTCGTTAATGATCGTAACAACAGGATTACAGAGAGTATATCTAACTCTAACTGATCCTATTCAATAGCTAAACAAAGTCAAGCTATCTAAGCCACATAATATAAAATATATACATGAAATAATAACAATAATAATAACTTATACTAACACCAACACCCTCTTAGTCCTTCCTTTATCAGCCTGAACCTTCATTCTATTATGAGCAAGCCTAAGGTTTTCTTTGAGGCCAGCCAAAACAGCTTCTCTAGTTTTTAACCAGGACTGATCCCCATCACCTGAGCTCAAGTTGACTGCCATAATAGGGGGTATGTAGCCATACAGTGCCTGGAATGTGGTACATCTCAATGAAGAGTGGTAGTTGGTATTATACCACCATTCAGCTAGGTGCAGCCATTTGGTCCAGCTCTTTGGTCTTTGAAACACCATACATCTCAGATACCCTTCTAAACACTGATTCACTTTTTCTGTTTGTCCATCAGTTTGAGGGTGGTAGGTTGTAGAGAGATTCAATTGGACTTGCATATTCCTAAGCAATGCCTGCCAAAATTTACTGGTGAAGATTTTGTCTCTGTCAGAGACAATGCTTCTAGGTAAGCCATGTAGTTTGTAGATATTTTCCATAAACAGTGTTGCAACACCCTCAGCAGTAAAAGGATGTGTTAAGGCCAGGAAGTGAGCATACTTAGGCTCTGTTTGGCAAATCTAGCTGAAAAGCTATAAGCTAGGAGCTGAAAGCTGAAAAGAAGTTGAAAGCTGAAAAGCTATAAGCTCGGAGCTGAAAAGTGAGGAGCTGTTAAGCTAGCTGTTATGATTGAAAGTGTTTGGTAAAATTAGCTTTTTGATAAGCTGATAAATGTAAAAAAGACTAAAAAAGACATTTTAATAAAATTTAAATTAGTTTGTTTATATATTAAAATTTAACATTTTGTATTTAAAGAAAATTAACATTTTGAAATAAAACTATTAGCATAATCATGATCTAGCATCTCATAATGAAGTATCAATATTGTTGCAAATCTCATAATAATAATAATAATAATAATAATAATAATAATAATAATAATAATAATAATAATAATAATAATAATAATAATAATAATAATATTTGCAGTGAAAGTTGCGGATAGAGGAGAAGAGAAAAAGGTTTTAATTGGGAAGGGTAAATTATGTCATTTCTTTAAAATAATAAGGATAAAGATGGAAAAAAAAAGTTAGGAAGCTAGGAGCTTATTTTGGAAACATTACCAAACAGAGCTTATAGCTTATTAGTAGCTTAAAATAAGCTATAAGCTCCTAAATAAGCTCTGCCAAACAGAGCCTTAGTCAACCTATCCACCACCACTAGTATCACATCTTTTTGGTGGGACTTGGGCAATCCTTCCACAAAATCCATAGAAATGCTTCGCCAAGCATTATCTGGAACATTTAAAGGCTGTAGAAGGCCAGGGTAGGCCACATTCTCCTATTTACACCTCTGGCAAATGTCACAGCTCCTCACAAAGTGTTTGACCTCCTTCTTCATTCCCTTCCAGTAAAAAAAGAGACTTCAGCCTCTGGTAAGTAGCAGTCTGTCCAAAGTGACCCCCAATGGATGATTCATGTAACTTAGCTATTAAATCTCTTCTTAACTCACCAGCAGTCCCAATGTAGAGCTTGGTTTTGTATTTGATAAGCCCCCCCTACTATAGAAAGCTTAGGATCAGAGTTGGGACTAACTAAGGCAGCACTGAGTTTGTCAGTACCCCAATTGTAATCCTTGTAACTCTTGATAATTTCTTCCATCCATTGAGGCTGAACTGTAGAAATGGAATAAGCAGTGGCTTCATTGGTGCTTTCTATTCTGGAAAGGGCATCGGCAGTAACATTATCAGTCCCTTTCTTATACTGTATAGAGTAGTCTAGCCCAAGTAATTTAGATAACCCTTTTTGTTGTAGTGCAGTGGTTATCTTCTGCTCAAGTAAGAATTGGAGGCTATGATGATCAGTCTTAATTGTGAAGTGTCTTCCCAAAAGGTAGGGCCTCCACCTATCCACAACATTGATTATGGAAATATATTCCTTTTCATAAATAGATAGGCCCAAATGCTTATCCCAAAATGCCTTGCTGTAAAGGGCCACTGGTTTGCCCTCTTGTACTAAAACAACCCCCATTCCCTTGTAGCTAGCATCAGCTTCTATAATAAAATCCTTCTGGAAATTAGGCAAGGCAAGGACAGGAGAGTGACACAAGGCATGTTTCAACTGTCTGAAAGTTTCCTCAGCATCTGGAGTCCACCAAAATGCATCTTTTTTCAACATGTTAGTCAAAGGCCTACTTATAACTCTATAATCTTTGATAAACCTCCTTTAATAGTCAGCTAAGCCAAGGAACCCCCTCAAGCCCTTAATGGTATGTGGTTTAGGCCAAGCAGCCACAACCTCAAGCTTGGCAGGGTCAGTTTGCAGACCATCCTGGGAGATAATATTCCCCAAGTACTCAACTTGAGTTTAGGCAAATGAACATTAACTCATTTTGGCCAATAGCTGATTCTGTCTCATGATGGAGAATACTTCCCTTAAGTGCTACCAGTGGTCTTCCAAACAGGCACTGTATACCAAAATATCATCAAAGAACACCAGCACTAATTTTCTAAGTAATGCCCTGAAAACTTGATTCATAAGTGCTTGAAAGGTTGCAGGGGCATTGATGAGGCCAAAGGGAATGACTCTAAACTCATACAGCCCTTGGTGAGTCCTAAAAGCAGTTTTAAACTCCTCACCCTCCTTCATCCTTACTAGATGATATCCTGACCTTAAATCCAATTTAGAAAAGTACAAAACCCCAGCCAGTTCTGAAAACAGTTCTTCCACCAAGGGTATGGGAAATTTGTTTTTGATAGTGATGTTGTTGAGTGCTCTATAATCAATACAGAACCTCCAACTGTTATCCTTCTTAGGAACTAGAAGAACAAGGGAGGCAATGCATGAGGAACTGGGGGTAATGATCTCAGCAGTTAACATCTTTTCAACCATTCTTTCAATCACATTTTTCTGGTCAAATGAGTATCTGTATGGTCCCAGATTGATAGGCTAGGCTCCAGGGATTAAGGGGATAGTGTGGTCCAGGTTTCTTTTGGGTATATGGGTTGAGGGTTCTTGAAACAGGTCATGGAATTCTTTTAAGAGTTTAGTAAGCTCAGTTGCTAGGCTGTGAGCAGTGGTCTGAGACAAGTAAGAAGTCTAAGGTAGAAATTCCTATTGCCAGGTTGAACATTGAACCAAAAAACCCTGCACTCCATTCTTATGCCATTTCTTAATTTCCTTCTCAGTGGCAGCTTTAAGCAACATTTTTTTGGTCAACCCTTTAAGGAATACCTTCTTACATTCCTTGTGGAAGGAAATTCCAGGGGGCCTGGTATGCAACTGGATTGGGGCATATTGGTCCACCAAATCCATGCTCAGTACCATGTCACACCCCCCAACCCTTAAGAGCCTAAAATCCTTCATAAAGTGTTGCTGTTAGATCTGCCAGCTCAGGTTTGGGCAGATAGAGTCACTGACCACCTGCTCTCCATTGGCTACTGGTCCTCAATGATGTTAAAGGTTGGACCCTTACACTTGTGACCAGGCTGCCAAGAATCAAAACACCTAAAACACTTCTTTTGTTCTCTCAGTTGGTTTCTGAATTGGTTAATTTTTGGGCTTTTTTAGGCTGTGGATTGTGTGGAAAGGGTAGGTTTAGGGGTGGAAGTGTTTGGTAAGGGGTTGTTTGAGTGGGAGCTTGTGGTTTTGGTTGTCTATGGGTTTCTGGAATTCCAGGAAGGAGCTCTGGAACTGTCACTGGACTTAAGACCCTTCTCATATTCCCTAGCATACCATATGGCATCATCCAGATTTCTAGGTCTATCAGTCCTCAAAAAGCACCTTAAATTGTGCTTAAGTTTAGCAATATAATTTTCAGTGAAGTATGCCTCTGTCAAATAGGGATGTGTTTGCAACAACAAGCTCTTAAAACTCTCATATTCATTAGTAAACTCATCAACAGTTCCCCATTGTTTGAGGGCTGCAAAGTCCTCCATGAGGGAGGCTCCACTTTCCCCAAACCTCCTACATATGGCCTCAGCAAACATAGGCCAATGAAACTCATCTCTCAGATTATGCATGTAGCTATCAAACCATAGGCCCACCTTCCCAATTAAATGAACATACAGCAGATTGGAGATTTCATTTATGGGAACATGGGAGAGGATAAAAATTTTTCACACCTAATAACCCACTGCCTGGGGTGAGTGTAATCAAAGGAGGAAAACTCACTTTTATATCTTAGACGGAAATCCTGGTTCTGACCACCCCCACCTGGCCTCCCTTCAACATTTAGCCTTCTCCTTGGGGCCCAATCCAGGTCAATTCTCTCCGGGGAGGTTCACAACTGGTGGTGTTTCTAGCCTCTGCTCAGCTTCTTCTGCCCCAGTCTCCAGAGCTGGGGCCTTATATGACCTCCCTCCAGCCCCTAAACTGGTCTCTCCTAGGAACTGCCCCTGAACAGATGATTATCCAGGGGTATTGGCAATGATCGGCGGTGCTGGCCTATTGAGCCTGAGAATCTGCAACCGTTCCTCTCTCGGGCTATCAAACCGGGAAGACAGCCCCCCCACCTGGGTGGTCAAGTTGCCTACATGTGTAGAAAGTTCAGTGACAGTAGTTTGTATGGTCTGGATCATTCCATTCAGCTCGTGATTCAGCTCAAGTACAATCGATTCAAGCTTTCGAATCCGGCCATCCATGGGCTCTGATACCAATTGCAGCGCACCACAGTTTGAAGGGTAGAAATTGGGGAAGAAATTAGGGTTAGGGAAGGAGAAAAGAGAAAGAGGAAAGGGAAATTGATCTTGTTATTCGGCATAAACGCAATTCCTCTACATTCTACCAATTTAAGCAGCAAAACAGCAAAATAATACACAGCCATTCATCCCTAGATTCTCGGATCGTAACAGAAGAATGTGCTGGAAGGAAGATGAAATGGCGTCGTCTGATGGCCAGGCCAACTGTTTCCCAACGGCTACTCCAAAACGCTGTCGTCTGGCCTCTTTTATTTAAACGGCTCAACAGCTTTATTCCCGCGACGTCGTTTCGGTCCTCTGACTTCTTATTCTCTTCAATGGCTATCTTCCTTTCTATTTGCCACCCATCCTCCCTCTTGCCAATTCAATAAAATCTCTATCTAGAGTCTTTGCATTTTCAAAACTTGTTTAAAACTTGATTTTTTTTTTGAAAAACTGAAAAAGTAAACAAATAAAGTCAAATTCCATAGCAACGTGCAAATGAGTGCAGAGTATAGTAGAATGATTAAGACGTGAGACTGTGAGAGCAAGTGAAATACGGCAAATGTGAAGCTAGATGGGACTCACCGGGAAAACCATAGGGTGGTTGAGCGACCAGTGAATCACGGCGAGGCGAAGAAACCGGGATGAGGAATCGCGGTGAGTAGGCGACCATGTGAGATGTGAGAGGCCGGAGGCGGAGTCGGCAACAGAGACCAAATAAGCCGAGAAGTTTCTCGTATGTTGGTGAAGCCGTGTCGCTGTGGTGAGAAAGAGTGAAACCCTGAAACATAGAGAGAAAGAGAGAGAGAGAGAGAGAGAGAGAGAGAGAGAGAGAGAGAGAGAGAGAGATGAGGTTAGATGAGAGATTTGAGAGTAAAAAGTTTTAGGGTGTGTTTGGAAACCTGGAAAATGAGTTCTGGAAATCATTTTTCAAGTTTTCACTGTTTGGATGTGCCTGGAAAATCAAGTCAACGGAAATCATTTTCCGTTGACTTTGGAAAATAGGCTTGTTTTGGAGGAAAATGACTTCCCCTTTTTTTTTGGGGAAGTCATTTTCCAACGTTTACACCAACATCACACCACCACCAACATCATCAACACCATACCACCACCACCTCACTACCACCATCACCACCACTACTGCCGCCGTCGCCACCACTATACCACCGCAACCACCGCCACCACACCACCACCATCACACCACCACCACTACCACCACCAACACCATACCACCGCAACCACTACCACCACCAACATCATCAACATCATACTACCACCACCACCGCTGCTACCACCACCACCACCATACCACCACAACCATCGTCGTCGCCACCGCCACCACCACCATACCACCGCAACCACCGTCGCCGCCGCCACCACCACCATACCACCGCTGCTACCACCACCACCACCATACCACCACAACCATCGTCGTCGCCACCGCCACCACCACCATACCACCGCAACCACCGTCGCCGTCGCCACCACCACCATACCACCGCTGCCGCCACCACCACCACCACCTCACCACCGCCGCTGCCACCACGACGACTATACCACCGCCACCGCCACCACCACCATACCATCGCAACCACCGTCGCCGCCGTCACCACCATACCACTGCAACCACCGCCACCACACCACCACCACCATACCACCGCAACCATCGTCGCCGCCACCACCACCACCATACCACCGCCACCACACCACCACCACCACACCACCGCCACCACACCACCACTACCACCACCGTCGCCGTCGCCACCACCACCATACCACCGTCGCCGCCACCACCACCGCCGCCGCCGCTGCCACAACCACCATACTACCGCAACCACCGTCGCCGCCACCACCACCACCATACCACCGCAACCACCGTCGCCGCCACCACTACCACCACCATACAACTGAAACCACCGCCACCACACCACCACCACTGCCACCACCAGTTATTATTATTATTATTATTATTATTATTATTATTATTATTATTATTATTATTATTATATAACAAATAACACTACTACCACTACACCACCATCACCATAATATTTTTGATATATTATTAGTTATTTTTTTATTATATTTAAAATTATTATTATATTATTATATATTATTATACATGTTGTAATATTCTAAATAAAATAATTAAAATGTTTAATTATACAATTCTACTCATTTTCCAGAAAATGAACCAAACACACAAAACAGTTTTCCAGAATGCAACCAAACACTAGAAAGGAAAATATTTTCCGGAAAATGACTCATTTTCCAGAAAACATTTTCCAGAAGTCATTTTCCTGCTTTCCAAACGGACCCTTATTCAACTCACTCCCCACCAAGCTTATTTTTAAGTTGGTAAAATGTAACAACACAAAATATTTTCCTCTAAATTTTTATTTTATACAATTTTCAAAATAAAATTATTTGGGAAAATAGCACTTTTTTCCCATAAGTTATATACTTATTGCACCTTTTCCTCTGAATTATTTAAGTGGCTTTTTTCCCATGAAATGTTAAATAGACACATTTACACTTAAAATAAATATTTCATTTATTTTTTTTTCTCCAACAAATTATAACCACGATGCTGTTCAAACCGAACAGACATTATAGCAACCAAACTGAAATATTTCAATTACAATTTAGAAGCGAAACTCGATATTTAGAGTTTATTAAAATTGCGAACCGGAATGGCCAGTTCATGTTCTGAACTAAAAAAAAAAAAATACATTTATTGTTAAATTTAGACTATTTTAAAATAAAAAATAAAATTTTAAAATAAAGGCGGTTCAAAACCGTGAACTGGATCCGGAACCGCCGGTTTATGGTTTAGGATCGAGTTTTTTCGATTCATAATTTTAATAAACTGAAATCCAAATATTGGGTTATGATCTACCGGAAATTTTCAATTCGATTGCTATAGTGTCCGGTTCAGTTTGAATCGAACCGCGGTCATCCCTACGTATACGCAATAATTTGTTAGAGAAGAATAAATAAATAAAATGTTTACTTTAAGGATAGAAATGTCAATTTAATATATCTGGAGGGGGGGGGGGGGGGAGGGGGAACTGCCACTTTTAGAATAATTCAGGAAACTAATGTGCTTACATGAATAATTCAGGGGGAAAAAGTGTTATAAGTATATAACTGAGGGGAAAAAAGTGTCATTTTCCCAAATTATTTTATTCCTACGACGGTTTAGCCCAAAATGTATATACATAAAGTATTTTAAACTCTTATTTCAAAATGATTTCCTACAAAGTATTTATGGGAAGCCATTTTACTCGTATCAATTCCATGACCCAAATGGTTTCGAATTCCTAGTCTTGTGATTTTGTTTGAGCCAAAAATATTTCTAAGCCCAATCTTTCTTTGACCCATCTATATTTTTATCTCTAGCCTAGCCCATTCTCCAAATACAACCCAACCCATTTTAGTAACTCTACCCTATTTAGATGAATATAAAGATATATTTAGAAAACTTCTTTCTTCTTGAAACATCAGCAGCCAAACAACCCCTCCTGTCCGTCTCCTCTCTCTCGTCTCTCTCTCGTTTTGTCTCCCTCTCCCAAATGACAACTCAGCACTAACAATAGGAGACCGGCGACTTCCTCCAGCGAGCATGCAGCGACGGCGGTGAGCTTCTTCCTTCCTCTCTCTCTCTCTCTCTCTCTCTCTCTCTCTCTCTCTCTCTCTCTCTCTCTCTCTCTCTCTCTCTCTCGTTTAGCAAACACCAAGCAAGGAGGCAGTGGCGGCGGCGAGCTTCTCCCTTCCTTTCTCTCTCTCGTTTAGCGAACACCAAGCAAGGAGGCAAACGATAACCCCTCTCCCTCTTGTCTCACCTTCTCTCGTACCTCGAAGAAGGAAACAGCTACAGTGGCACTCTTCTCCAACGAAACAACGACCAGCAGCGACTTCCTCCCCCTTCTTCCTTTTCCGGCAAGGCAGCGGCAGAGCTGGTGAGTTCGAGCTCCTCCCGGCGGTGAATGGAAACGACGAGCTCGGACCTTGTAGTGGACTCCATCGGCGAAGTTTGGTAGTGGAGGTGGTTTGGTTGCCTCGTTGAAGTGGCTAGCTCGGGAGTGAGTCTACAATCAAGCACTTGGCTTTTGGAGCTCGGTATGAGGTATAACCCATGGACATCCAAAATATAATATTTTCCTTTTTGTGTTTGATAAATGCATGTTTGAATGTTGTGGTTGATATATGAGCTTTAGAAATGATAGTAATCTTGTATTTTGTGATTGGAATGTGTTGTTGGATGTTGTATTGTTGATGATATTGCATTAGTGTTGTGATTTGGGAGTTGTAGGAGGTCTGGAAGTGAAAAAAATTGCCTAGGGGTGGAATAGAGTAGAGAGAGACAAGGCTACTGCCCCGCCTCCCCTCGGTGGCGTGCGGGCCTGGCCACGGGTCCTGGGAGACCCACCGAATGGCCCGCATGTCCAGTGGCAGGGCTTGGACGGTAGGCCCTTTGCGGCCTGCCACCTTTGCCCATGGCTGCGCAATTGGCGCAGTGAGTCTCACGATACCCGTTACCCAGCCCGCGTGGCCAAGGGCCCTTGTCGCTTTGCGCGAGTCTGGTCACTTTTATTTTGCGGGTTTTCGTGACTCGTGGGACTTGGGGGATTGTTCTAATGTGCTATGTGTTATGTGCTACGTGATTCTGTGATTTCAACACCCCTTGGTAGGAGTCTGTGCATATGATTCCACATTGTTTTTACTAAACTTTATATCCCACATGCTTATCCCATATCCTCTATCTTCATAGGGGGTTTTATTATCAAGCAACGGTGTTGGTGTCCGATTTATCAGATGTGTAGCCGCAAGAACACATTCTCCCCAAAAATAAATTGGCAAATTAACTTGCAATCTCAACGTTGTCGCTACATTGAGAATATGTTTATGTTTTCGCTCAACCCTACTGTGACACCCCTAAAAATCCATCCTTTAAAATAGAATTAATTATGTAATTAATTCTAAACATTCTTTGTAAAATCTCTTCCCAATTTCTTAATTAAATAGTCGGAGGACTAAAATTGACCAATCCCTTGGTCAATTGATTTAGTCAAAGGGAAAGACATTGAGCTTTATGTCTTGTACCTACTCTTTTGATGTCTTCCTAACCTTTTTCGAGAATAAGGGACGGCATTCTAGTCTTATCCATCTTACTTGGTATCCAAGCCTTGCCCTAACAAGACTACATTTCATTTCCCACATTTGGCAAGAAACACTTAGCTCTCTATCTTCTCTCTAGAGGTTTAGCTTATTCTCTAAGTCAAACCAAAATCTTCCCCCAACCTTGCAAGAAATTCTTCAAGATCCTAACTTTTATCCACCAAGGCCCTAGTAAGGGTAAGATTTGAGCTTAGATAGTGTTTCTAGTTAGATTTTTCATATCTTTATCTAAAGTTGTGGTTTTGTGTGGTTTTGGTTGTGTTGGAAAGACCTTGTAGAAGAGGAGCTTCAAGAAGAAGTATAAGTGGTGAAAAGAAGGTGTTCTTTAGGCTACAAAGGTAACCCATGCTCTACAAAACCAATTTTATACTTGCTATTATGATTTCTTGCTACTCTATTGATGTTCTTGATGTTCATGAGTGATTTGATGCATAATCTTGTTTTTATCCATGTTTAGAGCTTGTATCTAGGGTTCATAAATGTTATTCGTTGAGCTATTCATGTTGTTCAAGTCCCTTTGTTGTTGATGTGAGATTTTGGGTGTTTTGGACTTGAACTTGGTGTTGTTGATATTTTTCTCCGAAGGGAATTGTTGGAGGGTACAGATGTACGTGCAGGCATAATAGCGGGTGGTTGTCCACCCGCCGTTCCACCTGCGGGTGATGGCTTGGTGTATGACCGGGGGGGGGGGGGGGGGGTTCCGCGGGTGGTTGTCCACCCGCTAGTACTGGCAGGTGGAGGTGGTGGGAGGTTGTCCACCCACCGTTCTGCCCACTGGTACGTTGTGCTTTGGCCTCCGTTTTGTTGAACCGTCGTGCAACTTTGTGTGTCCTTTGATGTTTCGTACGTCTAGAACGGTGTCCTAAGTATCTGTGATAAGATTTTGAGTCTTGAATCGTGTTTAAGGTCCAACCTTGTGATTCATTGGATTAATGTGAAGTCGTTGATGTTTGATTGAACCGTTATGTTTATCCTTTTGATATACATGCTAGTTATGACGTTTTTGATGCTAGTATGTGGTTATTCATTTGTTCCTAATGAGGATTGGCAACTTGTGTTGCCAATCATGGTAATCTTGGGATTAAAATCTATCGCCGTTGTATCGTTGTTTGATTGTGGATTCATGCCTTCCATTGAAGTCTTTCGATTGAATCTTTTCTTGTAATCTCGTACACATGTGCTACTCTTCGTTGATTCCTTGATTGAGCTCTTGATGAGCCTTCCTCTGTTGGATTGTGTGAGAGTTGGTAATTGTTGGTGTGATTGTGAGTTTGTTGTGGTTAAGTAGGGTTCCGCTGGATGGACGTTGGCTACGGTGTGTGGAAAGCACCGTGCGCTAGGCTTCACTGTGGTGAAGATCCTGCCTTGCTTGGTTGTTGTTGTGGTGTAAGTAGGGTTCCGCTGGATGGGCGATGGCGACAGATGTGTGGAAAACACCGTGGGCTAGACTTCGCTATAGTGAAGTTCTGCCTTACAACGTTGTTGTTATGTGTGTAAGTGAGGTTCCGCTGGATGGGCGGTGGTGGCGGTTGCGTGGGAAGCACTGTGCACTAGGCTTCACTGTGGTGAAGCTCTGCCTTGCTAGGCCCTTTGAGTGTTTTGGTAACTCCACACTGATCCATTATGATTCGAGTCGTTGTGATGACTCTACGATGAATGACTTGGTTTGGCTATGTCCTTGATGATTCCATTGCTCTTATAGTTGTGTTGGTCTATTGAATAACCGTATGATGTTTCGTCCTTTGATTGAGAGTGTTCCATGATGAGTCTTACGATGTTTCTACTCCTTTTTTTAAAAGACTATATAGTATGTATTTCAAGTCTCAAATGGTTTTCCTATATCTATATTATATTGTACTCCACAAGTAGTGGTGGGTTACTTAGCATTATTCGCTAACGGGTGCTACCCCTTATGTTTTTCAGGTGATGAGTAGTTCCTTTGAGCGCGCTAGAAGACGGATTAGATTAACGTAGCTCCCATATGATTTCTTAGTTAGTTGTTGAGGCCTGTGAGCCAGTAGAAAACTTATGAATTCTATGTTATGGTTTTGAATATTTAAGTTGTGACTTTAGCCAGTGTATCTAACTTTGTAGTTAGGTGTAGCGTGACATCTCTCGATTTATCAGTTTAGCTTCCGCAATCTTTATATCTTAATTTTAGTTTTATCTCTACTTCAAAGCTTCAATGGCATTGTTTTATATTAAAATCGGGGGTGTTATACCTACCATTTTGTTGAGGAGTTCCCACACATGAAGTTTGAAAAAGAATTCCAGTATTAGAAAAAAATCACGCAAGCAATTAAATTCAGTACTGTTGTCACTCTGAACGACTTTGATTGATTGAGAGAATTGTCTATCAATCATAGCCACAAAACACAAAAACATTTTGAGAACCTCAGTTTTATCCATCAACAAATAAATACAAACTGCTCGCGAATAATCATCGATTATAGTCAAGAAATAACGTGCACCACAAGAAGATTGATGTTTGTAAGGGCCCCACAAATCACAATGTATTTTCTCAATTATTCGAGATGCTCTGTTATTACTCAAAGGAAACTTATCTCTAGGTTGCTTTGCACGAAAGCAAACCTCACAAGCTTTATTAAAACTTCCCACATCAGTGCCAATAGACGGAAGTAGTTTTACCACTTTTTCAGATGGATGACCCATTCGTTGATGCCAAAGATTGACTAAATTTGTCACCCCATTTACTGTAAGATGTTGCACTGAATCGATTCTCTTGAAGTAGTAAAATTCATCCCGTCTAACATCATTCCAATCAGTTCCTCCGATTGGTCCTGTATAGCACACATATAAGAGTTAAAGTGGACATTTCTCTTCATATCATCAGTTAACTGAGAAGCATATCATCAGTTAACTGAGAAACAAAAATAAGATTGCAATTTAAAGATGGAATATAAAGAACATGATTAAAAAAAATTTTGTCCGTTAATCGAACCGAGCCTTCTTGAGTTGCAACCACTATTTTTTCGTTGGGTAAACCAACATGGCAATGAAATATATCTTTTGCATCAACCATTCGAGTGGAATCACCAGTAACGTGATGAGAAGCCCCTGTGTCAATTATCCACAACTGTGGATCAAATTTACGATTCAATTGATCATCAAAAATCGTTGTACCACTAATCAGCCCTGTTAATGCCTGCGGCTGCTCGTTGTCGGCCATTGACAAGTTTATGCGCAGGTATAAACCTTAGCGGTTGATACCATGTAGAATACGAACAAATAAGAAGAAGAGGAAAAACTGATATATTATGTCGTGTGTGTAAACCTCAATACAAGCACTTTATTTATAGTGTTATCAAGATATTGAAAATAAATACAAAGGAGAAAACAAAGAGACATGGGAAAACAAAGAGATGGAAAACAAATGAATGGAAATCAAAGAGACACAAGATGATTAATATCTTAGAAATATCTCAACAATTGCTACTAATCACCACTGCCACTCATCCGAAACCACCTCTAAATCACTTCCAACAGGCAGTGCCGAATTTTAGGTTGTGCAAGCTCGGTTACCGCACAGGACCTCCAAATTTTAGAGGGTCCAATATTTAATTTTTACCTAGCTAGTTAAGAAATAAAAAGTAAAAGTTTTTAATAAAACTTAAAAGGCCAATGGTAGGAACATGTGTTTATTGTATTTTAATTTGGATGTTAGAGGTTCAAAACTTGAGTACTGTTCCAACTTTGAACATCTCCTTTTTTTTAATCCTTTTGCATTGCAAGTTGCGCACACTATTATTATTGTTGTATAATATGTTTTTTGTTTTTTTCCTTCCTTTTTTTTTTAATCATTTTGCATTCCGAGTTTGCGCACACTATTATTATTATTACTAGTAGTTGCACCCGTGCGATGCACGGCCATATATATAAATAATAGAATATATAGTATTATATAAAAAACAAATAGGGTAGAGACAAATTTCCAATTTATTAGACATTATTGAAAACTTCTTTATATACGACATTTGTAGTCGTATTTTTAGATTTTACATTTTCATCACAGATAAGTATTTTTAAACCCTTTGGACTACTAACTCTTGACACTGCTACATACATTTGACCATGATTGAAAACCGGCCTCTTCAAAAACAAACCGACGTTTGAGAGTGTTTGACCCTGACTTTTATTTATTGTCATGGCATATGACAACATTAGTGGGAATTGCTTTCTTTGGAATTTAAAAGGCAATCTGGGATCAGACGGTGTTAAGGACATCCTTGGAATTAAGACCTTTGAACCAGCACTTGCTCCGCACAGTATTTGAGCTTCTAAAACATGATCAGCCAACTTTGAAATTATCATTCTTGTACCATTGCACAACCCCAATGAGTGATCAATATTTCTCAAAAGCATAACTGGTGAGCCGACTTTTAGAGTCAATGAGTGATTTGGAACTCCAGAACAGCGTAATCCATTTAAAAATTCCGGTGTGTGCAGATCAGCAAGCATGTCAACATTAGAATCCGATTTGCAAATTGAATCACAACTGAGATACGTCCTTCCTTCAGCATTATTATATTCATTCATGTATTCATTGACTGTATCAACAATATCCAAAGTTGGGGCCAAAATTGCACGATCTTTTAGATATTTCAGATCTCGGTTACCACTGCGAAACATAGGAAATGTGCTATCAACAATTGTAGCAATAGGATCCTCAACACACGTCAGTAAAAATTCCTGAGGAATCTTGATCTCACATTCTCCATCCCTTGAATCACCAATTTTTCCATCACCTATATTGGCAATCCATTTAGCAAATTCTTCAATCTCTTGAGCTTCAGTATTTGATTGCAATGTCCTGAGTCTAAGATTCTTTGTTAGCCTAAATACTCTACAACTTCTCCAAAGATAGGATGAATTTATGCTGGCTCCCACAATATCTTGTCTCGATCCCTTTGGAATTACTGGTAGTATTTGTCTAAAATCTCCACCTAACACCACTGTTTTTCCACCAAAAGTCATATCCCAGCTGTTTGGATTTTTGACACGCATTATATCTCTCATAGTTCGGTCCAAAGCTTCAAAGCAAAATTTATGCATCATTGGTGCCTCATCCCAAATGATCAACCTACTTTGCATGATCAACTGTGCCAGCGGACTACTTTGGCTTATATTGCAAGTTGAATCTTCATTAACAGCTATTGGTATTGCAAACCTTGAATGTGCAGTTCTTCCCCCAGGTAATAGAAGTGAAGCTATGCCACTTGATGCAACGTTTAAAACTATCTCACCCTTTGATCTAATAGCAGAAGACAATGCTCTCCACAAGAATGTTTTTCCCGTTCCACCGTATCCATAAACAAAAAAAAGTCCTCCAACATTATTCTGAGCATCTTGCAATACGTTGTCATATATCGCCCTTTGTTCTTCAGTCAGTTGTTCCACCATGCTATCATTCTCTTCCTTCATGACATTAACATCATATGCTAATTCCTCCTGTATCAACCGATTGGTGGTTCTAGCATGATTCTCTAAATCCGGTACCGGCATCGATTGAAAGTCTTTCAAACTCTTTCCCATAGTCGAAAGCATTAGTTCTATCTCAGCAAGTGCAAAATTCTTCTTCTCGTCTTCCGATAAGATAAAATCTGTGATAATATTTATAATAATAGATTATAATTGTGTTTAACAAAAATAATGTTGTAAAACATGAAAATAAAAAGAAAATTCAAATTACCTGGAATCCTCATGTCTTCTCTAATCTTGAATTGTGCATCATCAGACAAATAAGTCCACGCAGCTTCCCAGACAACTTCAGGTTTCGCCATTGAGTTTGACATCAAGAGAGTGACAAACAATCTTCTCAAATTCACACCTGTGGCCCATTGACTTGCTTCTTCGATAGCCTGAATATATTCTTTGTCGTCATCTACTAAGCCTCTCGCAGAACACGCATCCCTAAAAGAATCGTATTGCACACCATTTACTTGTTTTATATCTAATTAACTTGTGGGTCCTTTGACTTTATTCAAAAGACATCTCAAATAAAAGATCTCCCCTGTACCAGGAGGCACATAGAATACTCTACCTATTGCAAATCCTCTTTTCCTTGGCTGCCATTTTCTAATATCTTTCTTCCAGACAAATTTCGTTGGCATTTCAGCATATGTCAATTTCCTCGCTTCCGGGTAGATTTTATTGGCCTCAAACCATTCTAGGAACATGCTTTGTAAGATTGTTGGCCGGCTAAGTATGTTATCAACTGGATCATCATCGGCAAATACTACACTTTGTTGATTCGGCAGGTGAAAGCTTAATCGTTCAACTGATGGTGTCCTTAACTGTATATCAAATCCAAACAACCGCCAACATGCTTCACAAGGAGATATGTACCTACAATCATAGTACATACTGATTTCATTAATAACTTTCGGCCCATCATCATCAGTGTTTGTTCTGTAGAATTCTGCTGTGACCCTGTCGTGACCCTTGTTCACGTACTTAAATAGATACTTTATTGACCGGGACTGGTTACACCATTCCACATTAATATGAGCCCGGTACTTTAACAACAAATGCCTATTGTGTGGAACCACGTACCTATTATCCAAGTTAATCCCATTGCGCATCACCGAGCGACCATTGTCTCTTCTCCGATAGATAGGATAACCATCCTCGTCAAAAGTTGAGAAATTAACAAACTTTTTGGGAAAGTGTTTAGTACATTTACCATTCGCCATACATGGAGAATTCAACCGTGCTCTACCGCAAGGACCATGCATCATAAACTCCTCTACTACTTTGAAGTATTCGGTATCATCTTCTTTATCAGGTAACTCAGCTGAAATGATGTTGTCCAAATTTATCCCGCTTTGGTTCCCATTGGTCTTTTCCAGAAATAACAGTATATGAGCATGCGGTAGACCTCTCTTTTGAAACTCGATTGTATAGATCACTGTTAAGCGTGCAAAATTTTTAAAATTGTAAAAGATAGCAAAATATATTAATTAAACTCACAACAATTGCTGTTAATAATTAAGTTTTATCTAAGTACCTCCAATTACTGGTCCAAAAAGCTTGTTCTTCCTGCAGTCTGCAATGAGAGCGTCCAATTTCATTTTGAATACTCTACATACTATGTCAGGACGATCTTCTGGTTTTAATTTTCGATCGTTCAAGAATCGTTGCACCTCAGGCCACTTGGGGTTGCAGGTGAACGTGATAAACAAATCTGGATATCCAACCCATCTACATATCGCCATTGCGTCCTGGTAATTTTGTATCATGTATCTAGCACCACCTGTAAAACTTGAAGGCAATATTATTCTCTTTCCTTGAGTAGTTGGGTCGACTTCACCGCGTGTTAAAGCATCATTCAAGCAGTTATATGATTCGCATCTCAAACTTTTTTGGTGTGTCCTTATGTAAATTAACCTTCCAGACTCCACCATTGTATAGGCGTCCACCACAAATTGTTGTAATAACCTTTTTGCATGTAATAAAGTTGATACCTCTGCGATTCGCGATTGGATACGGTATGAAAAATATTCTCGAGGACTTATCCGTTGGCGTCCACCGGCTATGTTTCCTTTTAATGTTGAGAAGGGGATGTCTTCCCTGTAACCGTCCTCACCGTATGGAAACAATAGAGGGTATTGCATGGGCAAGTAAGCTGGATTTAATTCAGTAATTCTTTGCAAGAGGCCGCTCTTTGTTTCCACCAAAATGTCACGTTCTCCAATATTTGTATCAATATCACCAACAATTAAGGCAGCAACTTCTGACACTTGCGGCAAGTTGTATGTTCTGGCATCCTTTGATCGCTTACCAAGCAATTTAATCTTAACCTCAGCCAGTGGATTCTTTTGTATTTCTGCTCTTGCCATGCGAAATGATTTTACCAAGACATTGTTCTGGTCCAAGTCTTGTTGAATATCATTAACAATTTCGCTATGGATATCCTGTTGCTCACCATCTTTCCTATAAATATACGAAAAAAACTTATCAAATTGCATAAACAAATCTTGATAACTGTTTAATAAAACAAATTTCATATACATATAATGACTAAACACGTTCTTACCTTACAGAATTGATACGATTGCACATTTCATTATTAGTATCATATATATATAACTGTGCGAATTGTGGTTTTCTCCCGTCTACCGGCAATAGACTACCAATGTAGTGAAAATTTTGTCCACTTATCCTGAAAGTTGGTGGACCTCCTGAGTTGTTGAAGGTTCTATCTATTTTCCCACCCATTGACGTGAAGCAAAACATACTATTGTACGACCTTATGTTTTGCAAGAATTGCTTGCTTTTTTCTCCTTCTCCAAAAAAAGTTCATATATCGCTTTTGGTGGCATGATTGGTGGTGGCAATTGAACCTTACCATTGTTGCAACACAAGGAATATCTTGGGCTGCCGCGATTATCGGTCTTGTGTGTCCTCTCTTCGTACCAAAAAAGCGCTCCGCAGTATTGACATGTGTTACTTGCATCACCAAGGTCGTTGTATTCCACTAATTTGACAATTAAATACTAATTAGTCTCCTACCAAAAAAGTAAGTTAAGGATTTTATATTTTACATACCAGTAATGTAATTAGTAGTTTCTAAAACGTGCATCATATTTCTTTCTTCGGCACCCACTTGGTTCAAATTCGAATCCACGAGTATAGAGGTCACGCGTAATGTCCCCAGGTCTGTGATTGTTGTTTGATTGCATTGGGTGGTAACTAAAAGTCATAAAAAAAAAATAATCATTCTCGAATCCACATTTCGTCTCCAAATTGTAATTAAACTAACATTGAAAAGAAAAATCACTTACCATTTGTACTATCAAGTATCGGTTGTTGCGTAAATCCCTCATCAACTAATTTATATTGATGCATTAATTAAATGTAATAAAAGGTGATAATAATGATTAGTAGACATTAAACTTACCACCATTGACCATTGTACTTGATATGCGCTTATTATTGGAAACTTCTTCAAAATCTTGAAACAAATCACGATTGACAACATTATACTGGATAACGTCTTTACCCCTATCCATGCATCTACTTCTTTTGCATTGTTCGGTACCTAATAATTTCATATTATTCAAATTACTTAAAAAAAAAAAAAAACAGAACTTAACTAAGAACGTAAACAATGCTATTTACTTTAAAAAATATTTACCATTCGATATATCCTGTAAAGGTTGTCGTTGGCTCTCAGACATACTACCGGTACCTTCATCGGACATAAATAACTTTTTTATTTCTACATGCGATTAACTATGAAATCGAAATAACAAATATTTTGTAATTTGAAAATTTCAAATAACTAACCGGTAAATATAGCGCTTGTTCCATTGGATAAATATGTAGTTCGTTCTCCTAACACAAACTTTCTGGATTTGTTCTGGGTTGACATATATTCCTTGCTACGTGTACTAATATTTATATTCAACGTTTCTTTATTGACTGCAACAAAAATATACGACTGTTAAATTTTATAAACGTTTAATTTAGTAAACGACATTTTAATAAAGTTTTATTTCAAAATCATAAACAGTTTACCTGTTGTAAGCGAACTTCTCGGTGTTTCATTTGAATGAGAGTATGGTTGTGGTGTGTATTCCGTCAATGAATTAGAACCATTTTCTTGACACCCGGGATTGTGTTTGCTTAGAATTCGATAATTGTGTCCATTTTCTGCCAACACAAGAAACAAAATAAAATAATAGAAAGCAATTATACATTGGTTCCAGTCCTAATTACATGCAATGTGGTCCACAAAATGTCGTGGACCATAATAAAATCTAATTTTTGAATTCCAAAATAATCAACTTTATAATATCTAAATAATGAACATAATTGAACATGACACCTTACATTATACCAACGATTTTTAAAAGAATATAAATACGAACAATTTTGAATAGACACGTGTAAATAAATTTTATCTAATATACCTTCATTATCCAAATTTTGTAGGTTTAGCAACAAAATAATCTATCATTAAAATATTATTAAAATGTAAATAATTTAACAGGGGGCACATTTTTATAATAAACTTTATAATGATAGTTGATAGATTGTAGACTTATTATATATGAGACCTAATTTAATAACTATGATGAGTTTTTTCAGGCCCAATATTAAACTGTTTATTTTCCATTGATCGTCACAATATTTTACAAAAATATTATTAAACATTGTATTATTGAATACCACACTGAATTAGAAAATTCTGAATTTAAATAATTCAAATCTAATTACAATATAAACATAATTATGCAAATTACATATATATAAAATATTAATGTAACAATGTATGTATAAATATTCATTGTTGAAGTTTATTAAATGTTCTTTGGTTAGTATTTTTTATTCACATTTTTATATGAAAAAAAGGAGTAGTTAATTAGGAATATATGTACCACTAATTATTATAAACAGTAAGGCATCATAAATCATAATATAATCTTATTCCAAAAAAAAAAAAAAAACTTAATATAATATGAGCGTAAATTACAAACTATTAAAATTAATATTACAAATTATTAAAATTTGTAATATTGCAATATTATTAAATTTGGCATTTGGAATATTTGAATTTCATATTGAAATTCTATTTCACAATTAAAGTACAATATAAGATACTAATCAAAACTAATAGCTTAGTTTCCAGAATCATCTTCACTCTTCACTCACTGTACCTCTGCATCTCGCCTCTCTTAACCTCACAAACTAAGAATTCTCTAGACACTCCTCACTATACTTAAACCAAGTTTAGTGATTTACACTACGAATTTTCCTTTGGAGATCTACCTCTACTGCTTTATTTTAAAAAAAAAAATGAGGGTTCTTTCCTAGCTAATCTCTGAGAAGCAATCCAGAAATTCCAACTGTCTGAGTTGTTTTGTCAGGTATATTAGATTGAAGAAGATGAATATGCCCTACCAGATCTGGAAAATCCAAGACGCAGGTTTGTTTGATATATGGGTCTGATCTGAAGGTCCTAAAATTGATAATTTTTTTCTCAAATTAAAAAATTAAAAGATTTAAGGGGATAATGGCATGCATTCGAATCTGGATAGTCCACTGTAAACTCCTTCATCTCATCTTGAATCTATAGATTTTTTTAATAGATTTAGTTTAGTTCACTTCAGATAAGTAACCGAACACTCAATTCGTGTTTTGGGTGATGTATTCTTTATCGCAATTTGTATTTTATTTTTCAGATTCATTTTTATTTTTCCGATTTTAGCAGTTGATTTTCTTAACTAATCGGTTAGCTTTTTAATTTCAGGGATGAAGTTTTTCAAACTGTACCCAGAATACAACGCAAATACACTTCGCCTGGACACTTAAAGGTATACTAAACCCACAATTTTTGAATCAATTGTCTAATTAGGCAAACGAAATTGTGTATTGTTCATCGTAAAAGTAGTTAGCGTACAACATATGTTTGATATCTATTTGCATAATAACTATTAGTGTTTTTCCCTTTAAGCTAATAGGGTTTACACTGATTTCTTACATGTTCAGTTTCGTTTTTCTGTTGTTATGAGCGTATGTATATCACAAAAACTTGTAGCTAAGCATGCATCAGTGCAGGTAAAGAACTAAAAATGTGTTTATTGAAGTACAAAACTGAGGTGAACTTAAAAGTACAGTATGGAATATGTTTTCAATACCTTGATTGTCGATTAACTGCTTCCTTTTGCTGCCTATGACTGTAGAAGTAAGTATTTTCCTCATCTGTGATATGTGGTTTTAGGGCTAACTCATTTAGAGTGTGTTGGGATTGTATTTTGAGTATGTCTTATGCCAAATTTGAAGTATTTATAACCAGGTCATGATTATGACTCTTCATTTTTTTGTGGAAAACAGCAATGAAATCTACTTTTTGTCTAATTGAATACACATGTTCCCTGTTAATTTATTTTCTTACTTATTTTTAAAGATGTGACTAACACACATTTTCAGAATTTGACAAATGAAGAATTTATTTTTCTGATGTCATTAGTGTACACAGAGAATTTATTTTCTGATGCCATTAATGGCAAATGATGATATGATAAATCTGTTGCCAGATAATCATTTTTTGGGACAGTATGAATAGCTGTAAGTTCATTTTGATGTGGATTGAAATGGTGTGACTTAAAAAAATTAAAACAGTCACAGTTTAAAAGAGTTATTTTTAGTGAATCCAAACTGTTTGAAATCTGAACTGGTATGTTTATTTGAGTGTTTTTAGTAAGATTAGTAACTGCTGGAAAATGATGATATGACCATTTTACTGAATGGAAAATGATGATATGACCATTCTTATGCCAGTTTCTCAATAAATTGTTACATTCTTAATACTTTCAGTTGATTAAGATGGAGATTCAAATGCTGTATCTTAATTTGAATCACAATTTTACAGTCTAAATGAGTTATTTTTAGTGAATCGGAAGTTGTCTTACATTTGAAGTTGTATTTTTTTTTTGTCTGTTATAAGTTTTAGTAAATGATGGCAAATGATTTTACTGAATTGCAAGATCATATATAAATGAAGTTTTCTTTCTGATGCCATTAGTGTCCACAATATTTTGCTAAATGGCAAATGATGATCTGACCATTCTGTTGGCAGTTTGTGATTTATTTATGACATTATTAATACTTTTAAGTTCACACCTTACAACTGAGTCTAATAATTGTAATGAGAAATTCGAATGTGTTGCTTCAAGCTTCAAAAAGTGATTTTGCTTGTAATTTTAAAACAGTTTGATTCTGCGTATTTTTTTTTAGTCCTATAGTGTGTTTATTAGTTATGAAGACTTCAAAGAATTTTATTTTTTCAGTTTAAATATTTTTTCTACTTGTAATATAGTTCTAATTGACTAATGATTTGCTTGACTGTGGAGATTAAAGATATTTTGCGAAAGTACAACTTTTTTTTTGCTGATTTATTAAGTACTATATGGGTAATAGTTAAATGTGTTATTAAAAGATGTGAAATGAATGATATTTTGTGGGTTTGGTGTTTTCAAATGCATGTTTCCTTGGCCAATTTTTTTTTCTGCAATATCTCAGAATGTGTTATTCATATACACTATAAATATTTTACAGTATTGAGACACACTTAGCATAATATAGTCTAATCTAGAATGCAAATCATAGAAGATGGAATTCCTTGAACATTTTTTGTAATCCTGGTATTGATCTTGCTTGTATCAGTGAATTTGGAATTCCTTGAAGATTCTTTCTTGCTTGTATTTGTGAGTCAATATGTTTGCTTCAGGCTGATTCCATTTTTAATCTGCAAAAAGTTAGAGAGCAATAAAATAGTACAAATATAGTAAATACTATAACAGTGAATACTTAGCAATAAAATATAATAGTGAATACTTAGACAAATTCAAAATAGATAAAGAGTAACAGTCAATTCAAATAGTTTAGCACTATTATAGTGCTATTACTGATAGATGGTTCCCCAAAAAAACATCCAAAAATTAAAACAACCACACAATGGTGGACAATTGTCTGCTGAAATATATCAAATATTAGGAACTTAGGAACCATTTCCCTGAGCAGTCACAGCCTTGGCCTTCTTAAGCTTGTTGGAAGAAGAAAACTGGTCCAACAGGGATCTCTTCACACCAGAAGCTTCTTCAGTTTCACTCTCAACCATTTGGGGCTGCTGGACACTGTTAGGGCTGTTAACTTCATTTTCCCCATTTGAAGCTTCCTATAAATATAAAAAAATGATTAAAATTTAAAATCTCACATAAAGACTAAAAAATAGTGAAGTAAATAAAATTACCTGATCAGGTTCATCTTCTTCCTCTTCATCCTCATCAATCATTATCGAGATTAAATCTTTTTCTTGGTTGTCCTTAATTTTGGAACAGTAGGTAGATATTAATATCTCATCCCTTAAAATCCTAGTCACAGCATATGCTGGATTGGCTCCTTTCATTTGGCTCATTTTCAGTGATATCTTAAATATCATTGGCATTCCAATTAATGAATCCAATTCCGTTGGAATGTCAGAAACCTACAACAAAGATAAAATAAGTATTACACAAATTAACAGTATAATAAATTTTTTATGGCTCTATAACATAGCTATAGAGGTTACTGACCTGGTTATACTTCTTGTACAGAAGGTTGGCAGGTATACCAACTAAGTCTGAACATTCCTTATCCCATAAAAGGAAGGGAGCATCTGATAAACCTATATCCATCACCCTAACAATCAGCTTATACCTAGCAATGCCTTCTTTGAATTTTTTATCACATGTGGAACAAACCAAATCCTCTCCTGCTTTCCGGAGCTTTCTGTTGCATGATGGTGACATGCAAGAGATGTACATCCACCCAAAAGAACTTTCAATTCCTACAATCTCTGCTGGAACATAAAACTCTCCATCCTGCAGTTCCAGATTAAGCCAATTTGTAAATAAATAAAAGAATCTGGCTAATGTATTCAACCGGAAAAAAATCAGTGTTTAGGAATCTCACCTCTTTAATTTTCAATAGATCACCTACTGAAGTCACAGAAACAGCACCACTGGTGAATTCTGAAATACCTATGGACTGGGAAAGAACTGTGGCAGTACTCAAACTTTTCATAGGACTATGAACATCACTAATCCTACAGTAAAAAAGATTATGTAAGGATTGAGCTCAATTCATGAAATTCAAATTAAAGTGGTTTTTAAAACATATTCTGGATAAAACACACAAATTCTGGATAAAACATATTGTATTATATTTCTTTCCATACTGACATAGTTTTTAAATCATTGTGATTAAAAACTAAATTAAGTAAACAATCCTAATTTACAAAAACAGAGAGGTAAATGACACATTCAGATTTATATATTTGTAACCTTGATAAATAAAATATAGTACTAAAATTGAACTAAGACAATCACAATTATTAAAACCACATTACATGATTAATAGTAAAGGATATCAATCCTATAGCATACTTTTATATTAAAACAGTTTGAATACTATAGATAATCAATACAACCTATAAAAGCAGAAATTATATAAACATACTTTGACCTGAAATCATCAACTTCCTGATAAGAGGCATTCAAATACAGTTTCGTAGCATCATATGAGCTTGTGATCCTGACTTCACCTAATAGGAGAACAAAAAGGTTATTTAAAATGGGAAAAATATAAATAGAGTTTAAAACACAATAGGAGAATAACTTACCATTGATAACTTTAGCCCTACATAGCTGAATAACCACAATTAGTGGTTCTTTAAGATCTGCATTATAGTATGGAATCATGGCAGCTACATGATTGTCCCAAACAGTACATTTTAATGTATTTCCCCTATATTCAAATGTGTTAAGAAATTAGAAATACATTTGAATGAAAAAAATATTGTATGTAAAGCCAACTTACTCATTGTCAGCAATTTTAAAATCAATTAGCTTTGCTGGTTTTCCACCTATGATCTTGTCCACAGGAGCATGAATTTCTATAAGTCGGCCTATTACATCTGTAAAAATAGAAATGACATTGAGATGTTACAGTATAATATAATGAAAAATATTATACAATGAACACATGTCTTACCAAACATCAGCTTCTCATTCACTAAAGTAGGATCTTTGAGACATTGATAGGGTTTTAGCTGAAACATGTTTGTAGGAAAACCTTTGCATTTTATTGCCTTCACCTGAGTCTTGTTGTTCAGTCTTATCATATACTTGTGATCACAGGTTTTATACATATAGTACTGGGTGAAGACCAGGAAATTTTTTAGAGAATAAATCTTCCCTTCCTTGAACAAATTGTTGTACTTCTCTACCTCCTTGTTTTGCATATTCACATGGATGAAAGTTCCCTACATATAATGTGAATAGAAATTACATAAATTTATGCTAAACATAACAGTGAACATAAATCATATGAAATTAGTTTACCTCTTCGTCGCATACCAAGCATTCTCGACTCTTGATTTGTTTAGAGCATCTACTTTCTAGTATTTCATACACTCTTACACACCTAACACGGATTGCCCTCTCAGTATGGATAGGGGCAATATCTTTAACTTTGATGTACATACTTGGCATGGTTAAATTCTTTAGAGATTTTCGACTGGAAGGTTTAATACTGTGCTTAGAACTGCAGGGCTGGAGATTTTGGGAGTGCAGATGAGATATCTCATAGATTTATATAGACTGTAATAGTCCATTTAGAAATTTGAATAATATCTTGGAAAAAGAAGGCTGCTGGAGACGTTTCACTTCCCAATTAAACAATCAAGAACTGTTCTATCGAAAAACTGAATATATTATACACAGCTGTAAAATATGCATGTTTCTACATTGATGTCTGTAGGTATATTTATGTAAATTATTTATTCATGGCACAGATTCTAATTAGAACTCTTCAATGAGTAAAAGTCTATTCAATTTTTCATGAGAGCATAGTAGCCGGATAAGATCATCGGAAACCCAAAGGTCATTTACAAACAATCAATTCGTCACTTTTAATCACTATCGCAAAACGACGCAGTATGCTTTGAGCGGGAAAATGAATAGGGTAGAAACTTACTGCTTTATTATAATGATAGATTATTATTATTATTATTATTATTATTATTATTATTATTATTATTATTATTATTATTATTATTATTACTAGTAATTCACCCGCGCGATGCACGGAAAAAAATTATGTTATTATAAATATAAATAAAAAATAGAAAAACTAAAATATTTTAAATTATATAATATAATAATATTTTTTAGCTTCCATTGGTCAAGTATTTATTATTTTTATAGAATACAAAATTACAATTAAAATTATAATTATAATTTTGTATGGTTAATATAATCTCTAATTATGTGCATATTCAAATAAACTTATAGAGATAATTTATATAATTACATTGATTTATTCTTAATTGTATTTCATCTATATTATAATTTTCACAATACACATAATAACTAAGATAATTACATTTGGAAAGCAAATTTCAAATTTTGTATGTGTAAATTTAAACTCTAATTGAACACATTTTTTATATAATTATATAATATATAGCTATTTTATTTTTCAAAACCATATTTTTTATATGATTATATAATATATAGCTATTTTATTTTTTAAATGTTGTGCTTTTTTTTTTTTTTTATAATAAAGGATGTTGTGGCATTAATTGTAACATTAATTATTTTCCAAACCATATAGCTTTATTATATAAAGGATTATTATTATTATTATTATTATTATTATTATTATTATTATTATTATTATTAGATAATATGTTTTTTGTTTTTTTCTTTGCGCACAACAACATTTTATCACCTTATTATTAGAAAAAAAAAATACGGTATTAAGTTTAAAGATTGTGATTTTCGTAGAGACTCATTTATTTACTAGAACGAGATCACAAAAATCTAAAAATCGGCCTGGCAACTGGCTGCCCCTCACCATGTGCACCACGCAGCACGCTAATGCCACACGCCGATCATATTTTCCTCCAGATAGACCGTTAGTTGTCTCCTGAGGATATATAACTTCGGAAAATACTTGATGTACTCCCATTTTATACTCCCTCTCACATGTTCATCGTAATATGGCTAGTTTTTTTTTTTTTTTTGAAAGTTACTGGCTCTATTACATTGTAGTATCTGTTCATATACTTTCTCAACCTACTGAAACACAAAGAACCAATAACGCCTCCACTAAGGCTTGAACTCATAATCTTCCAAATGGAAGTCCAACCCGGATACCATTAGACCACATAGTCCTGGTGTAATATGGCTAGTTAATTAAGTTGGTTTATCCAATCATTATTGAGAACTTATGGTTATTAGAAAGACTTTGACGAATCAGAGGAAATTAAATGAAAACCCGTTGTGCATAAGATGTACATGCAAGGGTGAAAACTTAGGGAATGATGGTGTGATTGGCGATTTATCTCCTCTAATTATTGAGTTATGAGGATTTAAGATTAATTTAGTTTAGTCTGAGATACCTAATGTATTTATAAAAAAGAAAAAAAAGAAAAAAAAAAAAAACCACGGACCATAGAATGGGATAGATCCGAGCTAGTTGTTATACAGTGGACCATGATCGTTGAATGAAACTGTAATAGAATTAAAATGATACTTTAGTGTTACGTTACTATAATAAAACTAGTGTGTGTGGAAAATGATACTAAAAAGCATAGCAGATTATTGTCAAATGAAACTGCAATATAATTAAAATGATATATTAGTATTCCTATAATGAAATTAGTATGCATGAAAAAATGAAAATAAAATCCAGAGTAATACAATAACATATATTATCAAATGACCTGAAGTGCAATTAAAATAATACTTCAAAATTACTATAAAACTATAATTAAACTAGTGTATGAGAAAAATGAAACAAAAACATATAGCTCAAGTAATAATGTATATTATCAAATGAAACTATAGTAAAATTAAATGGTACTTTAGTATTGTTATAATGAAATTAGTGTGGTGGGAAAATGAAACAAAACAAATCAACAAGATTGTCAAATGAAAATGAAGTGTAATTAAAACGGTACGTAATTCATGGTCCACGCTACAACATAGACCATGGTTCACAGTAAAATTTGCCGGTTCGAGCAGGTTGTGGGGTGCTTCCTAGGTAAAGATCGGAGTGACAAATTATTGTGTGGACTAGTCCAAAACGAAGTCGTTTTGATGTTAAAAAAAAAAAAAAAAAAAAAAATTGTTGCTCCACGCACGTGTTAGAATAATGAACATTAATCTGGGGTAAGGTAATGTATTTTATAAGTTAGAATCATGTATTTTATGTGTTAGAATAATGTACTTTATATGTATTAGAATTTAGAAATTAGAATAATAAAATTTTTGGGGTAAGATAATGTATATTACAAGTTAGAATAATGCATTTTATGAGTTAAAATAATATAAAATGTATTTTATGTGTTAGAATAATAAAATTTCTATGGTAAGTTAATGTTTTAGAGTAATACATTTTATGAGTTAATTAAAATAATATACTTTATGTGTTTTTTTTAATATAATCCACACAACTATATAGACCACGGTTCACGCAATAATAATTGGATCGGAGCTGTTAAAGAATGGGTATGAAGTTTTGTATTGAAGGTAAAATCCTAAAACCGTAGCCCCTTTTGGGTCCATGGGAAATTGGTGTTATCTGGAGGCCCATATTGGAATTTAATGGTCAAAAGGTCATGGAGCCCATTAAAGGACTTTTATATGGACCACAAACTGAGAAGGGCCCACGTTATTCAGAGAGGCAAATTATGCTGGGCATCCGTATGCACCATGCATGGTGCATACAGATGCAAAAACGACGTCATTTTGTATCAAAACGCACGTCTTACTTAAAAAAAATCAGTTTCGATTTCCAGCAATAACATTATGTTGTTTATTTTTTAGTTCATTCATTCTGAATTTTTAGTTATGAAATTGTGGATGTGTAAGTATGCAATTCGGGATCTATAGTTATGAAATTATGGGTGTGTAATTATGTATGGTGTAGTTATGCAATTCTGAATTTTATAGTTATGAAGTTATGGATATATAGTTATGCAATTCTGGATGTATAGTTATGAAGTTATGGATGTGTAGTTATGCAATTCTGAATTTATAGTTATGAAATTATGGATATGTAATTATGTAATTCTGGATGTATAGTTATGAAATTATGAATGTGTAATTTTACAATTCTAAATTTTTTTTTTTTTTTTTTTTAAGTTAGACGTCAAAATGACGTTATTTTGCATCCGTATGTACTATGCACGGTGCATATGGATGCACAGCATAACGATTAAATCAGAAAGGTTACTGCCCGTGGGACCCATTCGGATTTGCAAGATAAGGTCCCACTTTTGGATTAATTTCCGTAGCACCCCACCTGGTACAAGCTGTGAAAGCCCCAGCAGCTTACCAGCTAGCATTACCCTACTTTTAGGTATAATGGATCAATCTCCACTTCACTTAGCTCACGTTTTATAACTTTTTTTTTTTTTTCTTCTTTTGCTAATTAGTAGACTAGAAATATTCCTAGTAAATTTATGTTTGAACATATGGTCCATGCATGGGAGCAACTCACTATTAAAGCTAGGATTAAATAATCACCTTGATTATACATTTAATTATAAGTAGATATGGTCGCGGTTCGGTTTCAATTTCAAATCGTCAGTTCACAGTTCTAGGAAATGATAAACCAGAACTGACAGTTCAAACTTTATTTTGTTTTTTTTTTTAATTCTATTTTTTATTTTTTAAATAGTCTAAATTCAACAATATATTTTTTCTGTTTGTTTGTTTATTTTTTTTTTTGTTCTTTTTTCCTCTGGTTTGAAACTGGAACTGACTGATTTCAAAATGAAACCTTTTGGGTTCTGGTTATGAACATTAACTGGACCTCACTACGATTTTGGTTGCTACAGTGTTCAGTTTGATTCGATCAAATTGAATCGTGATCATTCTCAATTATAAGTGTGAGATGTTGCGATGCACAATTACATGGAAACCTAGGTTAAAAAATTCACCTTTTAAAAATGCTATACATTGAGAATTTCTAAAATTTTGTTAAAAACGTTTTAGGGTTGTTTAAAATTTGACACATTGAAATTATTTATTGAGTACTACTGACTCTATTACAATGTAGTATATGTTCATATATACTTTCTCAACTTGTTGAAACACAAAGAGCCAATATCACCTCCACTGAGACTCGAACCAATGACCTCCCATTTAGGAGAGTCCCATGGACTCTATGTTTTTAACCCTATATTTAAAAATAAATAAATAAATAAAAGTGCTAATGAAAGTGGACGACTACAATATTTAAATTCAAAAATGTTATGTGTATTGTATTTCTTAATTTAAATGGACAATGTACTATTTAACTACGAAGTATTTATTAATTAGTACTGATGGATACATTAAGAATAGATCTTGATCGAAGAAAATTGACTCGAGGAAATATGAAGAGCCGACCCGGGCATGGTTTGCCCAAGGTGGACAAAGCCGACTACGAGGTCGACCATGACTCGGGCTCAACCACTGTGGTCCGCTAAGACATTAGAGAAGGGGGCCACAAAGAGGCTCAACCGGCAAGTTCGTCCTCCAT